TTTCTACTCTTACAAACACAGATTCACAGGGTATGAATTCAAAGAAGCAGGTAGTACATATTTATGGTTCTTTTAAACAAAGTGTTCCTTTTTAAGGAAGAAAATATGAGCAGTCCTATAGCATAGTTCTAGAATAGAATTCTGCATTCTGTTCTTTTACAGGTTTGTTATTACTGTAACTTCCTCATCCAAAGGGATTTTATGATTTTTGTGTTCTGGTTTGTTAAAAAATGGAAGAGCGCTCCATTTTTTGTGTATGTGTGTGTTCTCCATCCCTCCTTTCTTCCCTCTTTCCTTTCTTTTATTCTCTCCTTCTCCTATTCTTCCTTCCTTTTCTTGTTATTGGAGGTACTAACACTTCTCTATTTCCCTTACTTATGAAAAGCCATAAATGTGTGATCATGGTTTATAGCAGGACAAATAAGTTTCAAAAGACAGAATACATGCATTTAACTGTTGCATTTCTGACTGCTACTGCAAAGAGAGAAACAAGAGAGACAATTTGAATGTAAGATCAAGTGCTCTGTTCTCAGTCATGTCTCTAACAAAAAAGCTGAACCTCTTCACTAAAACATATACACAGGTTTAGTAATACTATGAATATTAAGCTTGCATTTGAAAACAAATTTATAGCCCACTCCTGACATAGTTGGTTGACAAATCCAGCTTTCTGATTAGGAGTTGTGATCAAATTGAAGAGAGAAATTCTGCCATTGTTTACACCCTATCAATGACCAAGTTATCAAATGAAATCTTCGAAAGACATATTGAGCTATTTCCTGACTCAGTCCTTTGCATAAATTGAGAGAGTAGGGCATTCACATTGTTAAGCATTGGTTTAAAATGTTTCATATGCAAAATTATGTATTTAAGGGGGAGTGTTAGATGTTCTATTCATATTTCTTAAATTTGTCACATATGAAACTCTTTAATATTTCAGTGGAATTCTTTTTGCTTTTGTGAGGAAACCAACATTTTTCTAAGACAAACCAAATTTGTTTGCATATAAAATATAATGTGAAAATTGATATTGTGCTGTGTTTATTATGGTGTTTAAATACTGGGATTTTATTTTGACTAACTATACATCCTAATTTATCACATAATGAAACATTTAGTGGAGACATATTCTTGCTTTGCATTTTCTGTTAAAGTAAAAGTGTGAGTTTTTCTTTCTTGGCTGTGTTCCAATTTAGGCAATAAAACTACATTTTCTTTAAAATGTCTTCTGCTTATAAACTTCCACTTTCTTGTGTATAAAGTTCATAATTTCTCTAAAGATAATTGCAGATCAAATTTGATAGTAATTCTACAATAAACTATAGGATTCTTTGACATAAAAATAACTTTAGGATATTATATATATTAAGGACTGCAAATTAAGGCTCATGAGCTGAATCTGTGATGAAACCTTTCTCTACTTGGAAGCCAAGTTTGTACATTTTTAAGTGATTGGAAAAGAAGTGTGTTTTATAAAGCATAAAAATTATATGAAATTCAATTTTCAGTGTCTATAAATAATGTTTTATTGGAACACTGTTGTCGTGATTCATTTACATATTGTTTATGACTTTTGTGTACAATACAGAAAAAGTTGGGTAGTTATGACAGAGACCATCTGGACAGTAGAACATTAAATATTAACTGTCTGCCTTACACAGAAAGTTTACCCTTTCTCCCTACCTCTCTCTCTCTTTCTCATATCTCTCTCTTGCATCTCTCTCCAGCTGCATAGACATGATCTATTATCTATTCATCAACACATTTATATGCAGTTTATCTGCATCTACTTCTACATACATATAAGATAGAGAGAAAGACTTTTAATTTTAAAAATGTAACTACCATTTATCTTAAATGCATTTGGACATATTTATATTAGCACAGAGAAAAAAAGTTATAGAAATCAATATCCTTCCCTTAATTTACTTTTCATGTGAAAGTGACATACAATTAACAGATAGAAGAGTTCATGTCATTTCATATGAATGCACTGCAAACTCACCTTCATGCAGATAGACCTACTGCCTGTAGACAGTGGTATGGCTGTATCATAAGGCAGACCCTGATGTTTAAATGAACTATTTTTCATCATGTTATTTTTCCAGGTACTATGGTTTTGGCTCACACAGTCTCATAAAAAGCATTAAATTTATTACATTTCTAAAAGGATACAGTTTGTGCAGTAGATAACTGTCACGTTCTATATAGACATTGGTGAAATATATTCATGAAGAAAATCTGTTATTCTCCTTTTCCCAGAGATGGAAAATCACTCCACACCATAAAAACCTTCTGATTCTATTTTCTATTTTTATAGTTGAAAATTTGAACCTGAGAGGTGACTTGGGTGGTACTTATTGCTTAAAATGTCCTTTCTCTAATATCTTTCCTCTGATTTTTATGGCACAATAGCAAATATTTATTCATGGAGAACAATTATTGTTTGTTGTATGGCCATAATCACTTTCTAGATGTAGAAAAACTAAAATGTATGTCAGAAGTGTGTGTATATGTAGGGTCATATGAATGTCAGTAGTTATGTAGAAAGTAAAAGCACAATATTTTATTTACAAATTGATTGGATCAATATTAAAATGTGGATGAGCAAAAATTAGCTGTTATGTTATATATCTAAATTAATATTATTAAAAACCTGTACTAATTAACCCTTTATGTAAATTGATGATATTTTTCAACTACAATATATGTAGTATTATTTAGAGTTTTGAAATAATTCTCTTACTAGGCATTTCAGGCTGTTGTTACAGTTATTTGATCAGTGTAGATATGTAATCACTATAAAATGATTGTGAAAACAATGATATTCCAGAGTTTGCAAGGTAAGTGAATGATGATTTTTTTCTACAACAATTTGTTTCTTATTCAGAGATCACCTTACAGGTAGGCTTAAATAATAATGATAATAAAAACTCTATGAAATCATTATTTCTTTTCTTGTGCTATTAATTATACTTTTTCCATGTTAAGTAAATTGAAGACAAGGTTCTACATGTTAGCTCTGTTATCCTTTAAGAATGTAGGAGGAGACAGGAAAGGAATTGTTATAGCTTGTGTATAGATGCTCCCCCAAAGACGCAAGTAGTCTTGGCGGGGGGTGGGCTTTTCAGAGGTAGCTGAATCTAGAGTTTGTGATTGATTCATGGTCCAATGCTGGGATGAAGGATGTGAGTGCTACACCTGCCCTAGGGCAGGTAACCTGCCTACAGTATAAGGTACAGAAAGAGGCTTCTCTCTGTCTTGGTTTTACTTTCTTCTATTGCCCTGAATGGTTGCCTGTCTGCCATGAGCCAGCCTGCTTTGGTGACAGCCAATTTTCCACTGAAACCTCTACAAACTGTGAGCTAAATAAACCTTTCCTCTTTAACTTTGGATGTCAGATATTTTGTCTCAACAATGAGAAAAGCAACTAAGACAGGAACTAAGGTGATTTATATCTCTGAACAGTACCTGATCCTAAGAAAACACAGGCAAAGCAAAAATGAGGTGCTTCCAAGAGCAGAGCTGCTATCAGATACTGGAGTTGTCCCTCCTTCCCATCCTGGCTGCTCCACTGGTCCTGTGGTGAACCATGAACTGGGCATCTCATCACCTTTTCATCTTTATCCACTGCAAACTCACCAGAACATTATCAGCTCAATACAGTGAAACTGTCCACAATCTACCTATGCATGCAAGGTGCACTGAAGAACTCTGTACAAAAGTAGGCCTGCTCACTGCATTTGATTATAGGATTAGTCACTGTCCTGTCACTAGAACAAAACAGTGGACCACCACAACCTCAGGGAGAGGCTCATTTTGTGTCCTAGTTTTAGTTCATGTTTGGCTGGCCCCAAGGCAGAAACAACACAGCAGAGGGGCATGATGGAGAAAAAAATGCTTAAGCCATGGTGTCCAGGAAGCAGAAAGGAGGAGCCAGAGAAGTCAGCACCCGCAGGAAGTTGTCTTTTTAGAACACGCCCCACTACCCTTTAAGGACACATGTAGCCATGACCTCACCAATGGATAAATCCACTGAGAGTGTAGGACCCTATGACCCAATCACTCTCCACACATATGAGAATTTGGGGAGACAAGTTAGATCTCAGCCCTAACCAGGCTATTAACAGAATTTTAATGCTATCAAAAATGATGTTTCCTGGTAGAGGAAGCGACACACTGAGACCCTGTTTTCAAACTAAAAAATAATTGTGCACTTATCCTTACAACAGAGTCAGTCCTTCTAAACGCAATCTAACATTTCTAATGCCCTGATAAACATAACTCATGTCCCTATATAATTTTATAAAAAACAGTAAAATAAAAGCAAGTATCTTTGCAAAACAGGGAAGAGTGTTGATTTAAATGTGTAGAAAATTACTGCCTCTTTTAACCACTTGGGAGTATATAAATTTTAATAATATATTAGTTTATGTTATTAGATTATTTCTATATTGTGTCAATTTAAAAATAACTCCTATTATTTGCACTAAGTTTCAGAAACATAAATTATACCTACATTTTAAATCCTGAACCATCAGAATCATCCATCTTGTTTCCATATAAACATCAGCCCCATTCTAGTTCAAAGCTCTTTGGAAATAAAAAGTAATTTTTGATATCTACTTGTATTTAGATAGAAAAGTCTGTAGGTTGGTTAGGGCTAAAAGCACCACATATTTCTAAGATGAATTAGCTTCATTTTTATTTTTATTACTGTATTGCCAGCTTCTCTTCCAAATTACATTTTTAATAAATTTGATCTATAGCCATTTTGAAGGGTGAAAGCCCATAAACACATCTTTCGGCTTTAATTGCCTTTATAAAGCACTTACTCAAAAGGGCAGTTTTTCATCCCAATTGTACCACCAGCTTTTATAAGTGAATCTACCAGCCTCTCAGGATTAACTGCAACTCACTGCTAAAAATGAATCTGATACTGTAGGGTGTTAATATATTCACACCTGAATTTATATTGAAAAAAAGGGGAAAATAATTACCTTTTTTGAAGTGATCCTATGACAATCATAGGTAATGTTGATATTCTGATATGGTCAGGTCTGTGCTGTCTGTTACTTCCCGGAGTTAAAGCATCACATCTTTTGTCATAGAACAGCAGGACTGAGCAAGTTTTCCACTGGGCACCAAGCCACACATGTCTTTCCGATCTCTGTGTGTACACACACTCCCATCTGGGTGATCTCATCCAGCCGTGAACTCACATTCCTCAGCCACACCCACGCCCCTGTCTTTCACAGCTCTGCTCTAATCTCTCCCTGAGTTCAAACAGAGCCTGCTGCCTTTTCTGTTTGCACGTCTACCTGGTGCCTGAAACTCAGCATGTCCAAAGTGAATTTTCTGAGTTTGCCTGCAACCTTTCTTCCCCACTGCAGTGTGGAGCTCCAACAGGAAAACATGGAACTACAGTAAAACAACGTAGGAATCTGTAAGTCCTCTTTATCTTCCACATTCCTCGTCTGATCTATTACCAACTCTGATGATTTCTATCTTCAGTGTACAAACATGTATATACAGACTCTGACCATGTCTCATCACCTACCCTGTTAACACCCAAAGGAAGCCATGTCTCTCACTGGGACTGTAAACATACTACTGACAGGTTTCCCTGGCTTCAAATGCCAGCTGGAATGATACTGTAAAATTTAAATCAGATAATTCCTCACGCTCTCTCAAAATTCACAAATAGTCAACATCACCCTTGGAACACAATCTAAGCACTACAACTGTGCTAAAACGTCATACCTGAAGGAATTGCTGCCTATTTATGCTTATCTCATCTGACATCCTGCTCACTGAGGTGCCCTCTATGTACACATACCATACAATTTCTATGTGTAAGCCTGCCTGTCCTGCTATGGGTCTCCTTTGACTGCCTCTGGTACTTCTTCCCGAACATAGATCTTTACATAGCTCACTGTCCTGCTTCACTTATGGTTTAGAGAAAATGTCAATCCTTCCAGAAGACTTTCCCTGTTTAACTCAGAGTCTCCTAATCCATTTTTTCACTGTCCAACTGTAGCCTTCTTACATTTTTAAAACTTAGCTCTTATCAGTTTCTCATCTTTTATTGCATTTTCTCATTTTTAATTAGTTACCTTTGCACTTCTTAATAGAATGTTGGCTTCCTGAAGGACGAGAGCTAGTCTACCCCCGACACACATATACTGTATCAATTATGACCACCATATCTTTTAAAGAGACAATATATTCTCAGGTTAGGGAATATTTGATTCTATTCTTGTGACAATATGCACTAAATAGCTGATGCAAGAATTTAGATACAAACACCGGAATAACAGGCCCACTCCAGCAGAGGTACTTCCCGCTTCAGTCATGATTTCCCCAGAACTGCAAGAATGTAGAAGAACAGAGACGGAGTGAAGTAAAATATATGGGGCAAATAACTAAATAGACAGTTAGGAGTATCCCATGCTCAATGAAGAAACAAGTAGATAGGTAAAGCCAAAAATATCAGGAACCTATTTTTTGGTTTTAATTTCTTGTTTTTGTCATACAAACTCAGAAGTTATCAAATCTCACAGGGTGGAAAAATCACTGGGAAGCATTTGAAGAATGCAAGATCTTTAGCTAGCTCCATCCTTCAGGTTTTGGCTGTGCATGCCAGAGGATTCTGACTCCGTGATTCATGCAGTCTTTGAAGAATGGTGCCTCTGAACAATGAGTTTTCTCAACTATGGTATCTTTTTGTTTTTTGCCCCCGGTACCGGGAATCAAACTCATAACCTCGTGCTTGCCAGGCAGGCGCTGTGCCGCTGAGCTAAATCCCCAGCCCCCTCAACTATGGTATCTTGATAGAGAAAGGTGAATTATTTTCTAGTTTTCATTAGATGCACAATAAAATAATTTTCAAGGTTATCCGTGAATATGACTAGTGCATAGAATTAGTTTTAGGAAATACCCATCCTGCTTGAATTCTTTCAATATGATCACAAGATATCATTCTTGCCAAAAATATTATTAATTTATGTGGATGTTATTAATACAGTTCTAAAGTTGCTTCAGCTTCAGCTGGTGAAAATTAGGACAGTGACAACATTTACCTCACATGATTATTGAGAAGAGTGATGTGACATAAAACAGTGAAAACTGTTGCCATTTAATAATGTATTATGTATATGTTAGTGATGTATATGTTAGTATATGTTAGTGATCATGGTTATTAGCAGACATAATAGATTAGAGAACTTTTACAGTTTTCTTCATATGATTTCTTTTTTTTTTTTTTTTGCAAGTAAACAGCAGGTAGAAATCTTGAAGACAGAGGGGTAAGCAGGGAGTTCATGAACAAAAGCCAAACTGCACAGGAAATATGATTTCTTAAGTTTAATTTGCTGGGAAAAGTTTTTGGTGGAGGTATGAACTAACATCTTTGTTTCTTTCAATTCTAGGTTAGTCACAGGACACTCTGAATTATGAAAATCACTTAAACTCCATTTTAGTCAGTGTGATAATTAGCCTAATTTCTAGCTATAATAGTTAATTCTAATAAGTTTATCTTTTGAATCTACGCTGCCAAATTGTAAATAATATTAATTGTTTACTGCAGAAAATTCATGAACGCATAAAGGATCCTATAATACAGTGGTACCTCAGTTCATGAACTTAATTCTTCCATAACTGTGGAAACCATGAATTGAACCCTTAACCCAGAATACTTGAAAAAATTAAGTTCATGAACTGAGATACCACAGTATTTTGTGTAATTCATTACGATATTCCACACAAAATTTTATTTGATTGTATCCACAAAACTTTTCAAAACCTTTTTTTTTTTTGTACCGGGAATCGAACTCAGGACCTTGCATTTGACAGGCAGGCGCTGTGCCACTGAGCTATATTCCTGACTGCACAAAACTTCTATAAAAGTAGATAAAACTTGTATAACATAGTGCCATGCTTCACTTTTTTGTTAATTAAAAAAATTCCTCCTAGGTCAATTATTATTTTATCAGTTTTATTCCTCTACTATGTACACACTGGGATTTAAAAACACATAGCCAAAGTGTAGGCACCATTTCATGGGGGGTGAAATTGCACAGCAGTGTCAGTCCTCCATAAGACCTTCCAGGATTCATCACAGGATGGAAACATTGTATGTGCACCATCCTCAGAAAGAGCTTGGCATGAAGACAGTGAGTCAGTCCAACCTAGAGCTGCCGCATGGCACACCTTAATGATAACTGTGAGTTTGATTATACAGAGTGGCAATAATATATTTGAGTAACAACAAAAGAGAAGTCAAGTAACACTTAATCCACCTTAATTATGCATTATTTGCAAAGAAATATTTCCCTAACAAGAGTGCTAGCTGCAAATTGCGGTTCTGTGCTGCTTGTAAGTGTTTAACCCGCAGCTCAGCGTCCAGGCGTGCAGGTACTCAGATGCTCTTCTGCACAGTGTGTAGAAGGTTCTCTTTTAAACCACAAGTGAATGGAGATTATGCCAACATTTTTTCTTTTCCCTTTTCAAAATTTGTTGCAGCCTTAAGCTCCATAGACAATACACCCATCCTTCAACTATACAGCTTCAATATAATTGTATTTCCCTTTATTTCTCACTTTTATGTCTTTGTTTTGAAAGGCAATGGTGTGTAGATAAAAGCTTAGGCGTAAGATAGACAGTGAATTGAATTTCAGTTCTATCTGCTTAGTGTTGTGACCTTGGACAAGTTACTTAACCTGCCTAGCTCTTGATTTTCTAATTTGCAAAATGGAGATGATGATATATTTTTTGATTTGGTTGTGAAATTTAAATAATATGAGGCAGAAAGACCATCTGTCACCCAGTGCAGTTTCAATAAAACTTCTATTCCTTTCCTTTTTACTGTATTGCACTTTTCTCCATATTTTGTTCTGTGCTTGTCACATATTTAAAAAGTTCTCCTCTGTTTTGTTTTCACTGTTTTGAGTGAGCTCAGCTGCATAATATATTACTAGGTTCACCCAGCTCATCATTCTCTTTTTATCATTTAAAGAAATTTTTATAGGTACTTTTTCTAAAATCAGATATGATTTGGGGGAAAATTATGAAAGTTTCACATGCAATTAAATGTAATAAACAGCTCCTCCTTCAAACCTTTCAATTTCATTCATTTGTCATCTTCCCTTAGTGAGGGCTACAGATCCCACAAAAGAATATTCCCAGGTGGTCCTGACTTATTTGACACATGGTCTCCACACATGGTTTACCTCACTTAACTGGTGTAAAAGAGCCTTAGCCTGGCTCTCCCGGATCATGGGACCACGGTACAATCCTCCAAATATCTCCTGAGCCAGGACTGTGTGAACAACATCCTATGCTATGTTGGCATCTTTTCCAGTGTGCAGGGATAAAGATCTGTCCGTTCCAGTTTCTGATAATTTCTGAGACACCTGTTACAAATATCGTGAGTCTTCTTTCTGTGAAATTATTTCACTTTTACTCTCCATGATATTTTTTTTAGCAAAATTAAGATGCTCAATTTACAAGCAGAACAAGGGGGTCTCCATCAGCTCACTGATGAACCCGTCTCTAGTTTGCAGAGTGAAGACTCTCATTCAACCACTATATTTTTTTCTGGTAGGAATTCACATAATAACCCCCCCTTAGAATTGAAGCAGTCTATTTAGCCAATATTTCCACATCCTTTTCAGATCCATTTTAATCTCTAAACCCACCACTTCCAAACACAACAAGATATTTATAGATCATGCCGTTATGTTTTTTTAATACCTTTTCTTTTTCTTTCACTGGGACCCCTCACTTGAGCAATGGGTCTACTTCTCTCTTTCTCTCCTTTCTTTTGGTCATGGTTCTCTTTACCGGGTCTGAAACTAACTATCTTGACTGCTACTAAAGTTTTGAGCTTCACTCCTTCTCAGAACCCTGGCCTCAGAACTCTCTTCTGCATTATTTTCGACTTGAATGGCCTGACAAAGGAATACAGTTTTTCTCACCTTCATATCTCCTTTGGTATTTGAACAATCTGTTCTGTAGGAATGAGTTCATCTTTCAAATACATTTTCCAATGTACCCAGCTTTTATGGAAGACATTAATGATTTGAAAAGGCAAATATTTCTTTTAACCCATGAAACCTAATCATTTTGTATATGTATATATAT